TGGCCCACCGGAACGCCCGCTAGCTCCAGGAGCTGAGCGAAGCGGAGAGCCGGCTCCCCGCCCAGCTGCCTCCCTTCCTCCGCCGTGCCATGGCGCAGGCACATCAGGACCAGCAACTCCCCGTCTGTCTGTCTCGGGGAGATAGACTCATCCGCCAGCGTGTCCCACAGGACCCTTGGGATGCGGTCCCAAAGACGAGTGTAAGGCGGGCGCAACAGAAACTGTGTAGAGACCCTAGCCATGCTGAAAACAAGGGTTCGAGCCTCCTATCGAATGGCCGGGACCCAACCGCGGCAAACTGCAAACACGACCAACCCTTCCTGATGCCGAGTGCGCGTGGGGCAGGCAGGCGGCATGCAGCCCACCAAGCCCAAAGAGTCCCCCCCGGAAATCCCCAAAAGAACCACGGAGGGGGGAAGACCCACCCGACGGGGGATTCCCCAAAACCCCCAAGGGGACCTCAGGGAGCCCAGCGTCAGCCGCAGCCACTTTCTTCAAACAGCGGCCGATACGGCCCGTCCTTGGGGCAGCCAAATTGCGCAGCCTCCGGCTCGAGGCAAACCGGCAGTCGTGGCGTGTTGAACAGGGGGGGAAACCAAGGTGAATGATGAACCCAAAACAAGGGAAACACCCCAACACCTCCCCCCCACCCAAGACGGGGCCAGAGGCACCCAAGTCCCGGTGGGGAGAGATCATACGACTCCACCTCCAAAAGGGTAGTGAGACTGTGGAACTCATCCTGTCCCGGATCCACTGGTTATAGAGTTGCTCCGGGGGCTCGTCCATCACCAGCTGCAGGCATGTGGCCTTGTCCTTGTGCCAGCCCGTAATCTGGAGCAGCCTGGTCCCCCCACGGCTCGCCTTCCAGAAGCCCTTGCAGAACCTGCACATGTAGCCCCCAGTGGTCTTGAACTTCTCTTTGCCCACCACTTCCCATGCGCTGATGCTGGGCAGGACCAGGCCGCACTCCACCGAGGCCCAGAACACGTGCTTGGTTCCATTCGGGAAGTGCTTGTTGATGTACTTCCGGCCCGCGACCACGTGACCGTGGACGTGGTGATCGGGGGGTACCGCCTGGTACCCTGGTCCGGCGTGCGGAGCGTGGTGTCCGCTTTCGCCAGAATCTTGGCCTTGGGGTCCGACCGGGGCCAGAGGCACCCAAGGGGGGGGAGCAGCCCAGCTGCCTGATCAGGTCCTGGGAGTAGCCCAGCCGAGGGCCCCCGCCGCCTCCTGCGGGACCGGCTCCACCCAGTCATGGACCACGTTGCAACGCCAGTTGACCTTGATCTCCACCATGGAGGACGTATACTCAGGCCCGCCACCAGTTTGGTGTACACCGAGTCAAAAGCCCTCAACGATGACAGCGGAAGTGTGATTCGCTCGTCACAGACCGCCCTGAAACGCAGGGCCTCCTTGCTGTCGTGGACGGGGGCCACTGGGAGCTCCATCACCGGCAATGGGCAATTGACGATGAAGTTCTTGGCTGCCAGAAACGTCCCCATCTCCTTAAAGATGTAGCTCCACTCCGCCTTGCTGCGCGGCTTGGGGATTCCCAGGCTCTCCAGGAAGGGGACCGCCTCCTTCCGCATCTGGAGGATGTTCCCCATCCGGCGCCGGGCGCTCAATCCGGTTAACCTGCGCACGGATCTCCAGGGCCGAGTAGATGATCGGGTCGATGTGGTCCCGCTCACACGTGAGTGGGTGGGTCCTGCGCTCCAGGGCCAGGAGCTCCTCCGGCGAGAGCTTGAATTGCTGGTCCGCGCCCTTGGGGATCTCACCGCTGGAGTGCTTCTTCCAGATCCCCCCAAACATCCGTAGCTCCCCTTGGTGCCTCTTCATCGCCCAGAGGAGCAGGGACAGCTTACCCTCCTCCGAGTCCAGGTCCTGCGGTGGCCCTGACTGGTCCCCCCCGGGGCCAGTGGCACCCTTGGGGGGGGCCGGTGTCGCCAGATCGGGCATCTCCTCCAGCAACGCCTCCTGGTTCCACGGGTTCTGCGCCTCTCTGAGCCTCCGGATGTATGGGACGTACTTCTCTCCTTGATGTCCCCCCACAGCCCCCTCTCCAGGGCCTGCCTGAGATCATCTGGCCATGCCGACACCTCCAGGGGCTGGAGGGTGTGGTTAAGCATCCATGCCTGGTTGGTGTCCTGGCGACACCCTTTCCCTCCAGGTACTGGTCTCGCAGCTTGGCCTTGAATCGCTCCAGGTTGACCTTCCTGAGGGCCCGGGCTCCCTCGTTGGCCACCTCCTCTGCCGGCAGGGCCTGCATGCCCTCCTGGAGAGGCGCCAGGATTGCCATCTCATTGTCCAACATCTCATCCGTGACCAACTCCTTGTGCCGCCGCCTGGCCGAGGACTCCTCCGGGGTCGGTTCCCGGTGCTCCCTCAAGGCCTTATGCAGCTCTTCCTTTCTCCGGATCGCCTGGTCCACCTGGGGGTGGTAGAGCTGGAAGCTCTGAGCCTCTGCCTCCTGCAGGGACCGCTGCACCTTGACCTTGACCTCCTGGCGCTCCCGGACCTTCAACGCCTCGTCGTCCGCCTCCATGGACAGGATCTCCTGCCGGATGTCCACCCGCCTGATAAGCGGGACCACGTCAGCCATAGTGATCTCCTCGGCCGTGTCCGTTTTCGGGGGAGCTCTCCCCAGGATCGTGCCGTCCACCAGGTTGCGGTCTGCCTGTGCAGGTTGTACGTGACGCCGTCCGCCTCGTAGGTAGCCGAGGGTGCCTGAAGGGGACAAACTCCTTGCCCGGGCAGACCCAGCATTGATTGGCTGCCTCCGGCCACCCCGTGCCGCATGCCTTACACATGAATTTGTAGTCCGAGTGGCCGGCATCGAGTCTGTGCATCCGCTGGGTGCCAATGCATGCCTTATTCCGCTGGAACTGTGAGGCCCAGACCTCCTCTTGCCGGATCTGGATCTTCATCGGAACATAAGCCTCCAGGATGCGAACCACCAAGTCCTCCGTGAGATTCTTCCCGACAAACTTGTGGAACAGAGAGACCGCCTCCTCCACCGTGACGTCCCTCAGCAACGTGGCCGCCGATGCCGGAAGGACCGGGAAGAGGTCTGGGAGGTCAACTAGCTTGAAATAGATCCACCGGCACCAGGGAGACCGGTTTGTTCACCGGGGCCGTGTTCTTCTGGGAGGCTGCCACGAAGCCCTTCAGCCTCTTCGCTGGTGGAGTAGCCCGCTCCGTGGTGACCGCATCGCCCATCTCCTTGTCCTCGTATTCGGCGGGGCCAGGGGCACCCAGGCCGGGAGTCGGTGTGGAGAAGGCCACACGGAGCCGCTCCAGTGCACTGGAGAGGTCGTTCATCACATCGGTGGCCGATGCCGACGGGGGCGCCTCGGGCTCATCCAACACCAGGCCGGCCGCCACAGCCGCCTCGCGTGTGCGGACTTCCTGGGCCTCCTGGCTGGCCATTTCCACCTCCTCCGCGGTGAGTGTCTGGTCCTCAATCAACTCGAAGGAAGTTGCCGAAGTTGCCGAGGAGGCCATTGCTGGTTCGGGGTTAGTGCGGAAGTGCTACCTTTCAATATTTTTTCACACAAGTTGGGTTCAGAGAACCCAAGAGCAAAGCTTGAGCCAAAATGGCCGGGGCCATTATGGTCAAGCATTTCAAACACAGTTCATGTTTCCACATGCGTTTCAACATTAACAAAATATCTTCCGCGAAGGCTTCCGCGGAGCTTTCGCGGAATGAAAGGGTTGCAAGAGTCGAGAGACATTGACGATTCAGGGATCGCCTCCGCGTTGCTTTCGCAGATTGAGAATTGGGTTTGGACTTCGTTTTGCTTCCGCGAAGGTGAAGCAGGCCAACTACAAGTTCTTTTCTTCGTACCGAATCCTAGCACTTCCGCGAAGCTTTTGCGAGCATAAATGGTAACCCCTTCCGCGAACCTTTCGCTGCACCTTCTGCGACCTAGGGAAAAATATATGAAAAAGATGTTTCCTCACGAATATAATTTCAAACGTCGCTCACGTGCTGAATGCCTACTGTAGGAGGCCCTGTTCCGATCCCGATTCGCTTGGACTTTGCTCTATGGACCGCTTCAATCACTACCCCACATCATTCAGGTGTCCTCAACTGACATTGAATTGGTTCCACCCCACAAAATAGTAGTTCAGTCGGTGTGTCTCTGTGTGTGTGTGTGTGTGTGTCTGTCTGTATCTGTCTGTATCTGTCTGTGTCTGTCTGTGTCTGTCTGTGTCTGTCTGTGTCTGTCTGTGTCTGTCTGTGTCTGTCTGTCTGTGTCTGTCTGTGTCTGTCTGTGTCTGTCTGTGTGTGTGTGTGTCTTTGTGTGTCTGTGTGTGTCTGTGTGTGTCTGTGTGTGTGTCTGGTGTGTCTGTGTGTGTGTCTGTGTGTGTCTGTGTCTGTCTGTATCTGTCTGTATCTGTCTGTGTCTGTCTGTGTCTGTCTGTGTCTGTCTGTGTCTGTCTGTGTCTGTCTGTGTCTGTCTGTGTCTGTCTGTGTCTGTCTGTGTCTGTCTGTGTCTGTCTGTGTGTGTGTCTTTGTGTGTCTGTGTGTGTCTGTGTGTGTCTGTGTGTGTGTCTGGTGTGTCTGTGTGTGTGTGTCTGTGTGTGTCTGTGTCTGTGTGTGTGTGTCTGTGTGTGTGTATCTGTGTGTGTGTGTGTGTGTGTCTGTGTGTGTGTGTGTCTGTGTGTGTGTGTGTGTCTGTGTGTGTGTGTGTGTCTGTGTGTCTGTGTGTGTGTGTGTGTCTGTGTGTGTCTGTGCGTCTGTGCGTCTGCGTCTGTGTCTGTGTCTGTGTCTGTGTCTGTGTCTGTGTCTGTGTCTGTGTCTGCGTGTGTGCTTGGGTTTGTGTGCGTGCAGGGATCGATACAACACCCTTTGACAGAAGCCGCAAATAGTATAGCCAATCGCGGGCTGTCAAGCTTTTCAAAAGCTGGGGTCCCTGTTTCCTTCCCTCGTTCCGACGTGACACCGTTTGACACCCACCAAATCCCTCTGCTCAACCCCATCTCAGATTCCCGGCAATACCCGACGCAGGAGCTGCGCTCGATGTGAGGGCTGCAGCGGTAGCGGTGGGGGGCTAGATGGGTTTGCAAATCCAACAAAGCCAACACACGAGCACATCATTGCAGCCTACAGTATTACTCCCAAAACTTGAAAGCTGGACGGAGCAAGGGCTGTGATTCCATGTCCAACACTTTGCCAAAGGATACTGCCTAGATTGACGGGACGAACCCCAAAACCCTCACTTGTGGTAACTCCTTCTGGGGCACTTTTTTTGGTTTGCTAGCGTGAAGGGGAGCCCGGAAGATTGGACACCCGGCTCTTGGGATCTTCTCAATTCAGAGCACGCAAAAACCCAGCAACCGTGTATAATATGTCTGGCATCGCCCTTCAGATTGACATGGAAACCAAAACCGATCACCACTGTTGGGGACATCCATTTTTTTTGTTGAGGTTGCATGTTACAAGTGACTTGAAGGAAAGAGACCTATGGTTTGCTGAAGATGTCAGCCAGGGAGAACAAACGTGATGCCAGGCTGCCTGTCTATCAGGACCTCCTTTCGACTGAGAAATATGTCTTCTTGAGGGTACCCTTTTTGGGTTTTGGGGTTGTGCTGAAGGAAACCAAAGGAGAACAGCAATGTTTGCGCCCCCAAGCCCATATTTGCCAAACCGGTGTGCGGGTTTACCCCAAGCACTAATCTGGGCAAATAGTCATTTACCAACTCGCAGGAAGGGAGTCACAACCACCGTCTAATTGTGGCTGTGCCGACAAGTCAGGGTGCAATAAAGGGGCCACAATGCCAAACCGATGGCCCCCGCAATGGCTCCCCTTAGCTCAGGTTACAAGCAGAGTTGGGTCGAATGTGTTTGCAACCAGACCCCGCTTTCCTACAAAGGAAACAACAGGGTGGCTCAAACAACGGCGGTTTCATCATGTCTTCAACGACGGACAAGCCCAATTCGGGTCACAAGGGCACTCGTGGGCCCCATACCCTCGCAGCTGAGTTCCGCACTCAGCCCATTGGCAGGATCGTTGAGTGCAAAGCCAGGCCTCGGGGGAAACAAGTTCCATCGATGGGACCCCGTGACAAGTGCATAGCCTCTGAAGTCGAACCGCAGCTTGCTGGTTCTCGGGGAACGTTTTTGGGGGATTGGGAATGAGCCCATGGATCCCCTTCAAACAAATTATGAGGGAATGGTTCATAGGGGTGATTGCCTCATTCCCTGCTCAGACCCAGCTAAGCGCTTGATGACCATCCCCAGCCCCAGACCCAAGGGACAAGAGGATAGAAAACCCACCTGAGGTGCCACTGATGTATTAGTTTGTTAGCTTGGCAATCGTGACGAATTCCGAGACATCGCCAAGACATCTTCACCGCAGCGTTTGGCATCTTGTTGTTGTTTCCTGTACACGATACGGAAGAGTTGCTAGTCAACATGGAATCCCAGCGTTCCATGTTCATCAGAAGTGTATTGGGTGCGTCTCATATTTGGGGACCCAAGTGATTGGTTTCCTTTGGGTCTCCCTTCAAAACCATCCCAAGGGGGAGCTTCCCGACTTCGAGAGAGCACCAACCATCCAAGAATACACATTTCAATACGGAGCTGTCTCAAAGCGTTCATATCGAAGGAAAGCGACAGCGGTGGCGTTTCCTGGGTGTCCCGGGCATCGCAAAGGTGGCCATCACCGCGGGGTCGGTGATCTGCGTGCAGCCCTCCGGGTAGTTGGGGCCTTGGTCGATCGGACGAGAGACGTTTGGCTTTTTGGGAGGGACATGGCAGAATTCCGAAACTACAAAAAAAAACAATTCCGCAAATTCCGTTCGTTCTTTTTTGTTTTCGCGCTCTAGAAGTTTTACCATAATTCCGAAACCTGAATTAAGGGATCCCCAAGCAAAGGACCTTTACCATGGCGATCTCGTTTTACCTCCAGGTGAGCTCGCTATAAGATAGGCAGCTTGCATCTTGGTTTCCCCTTTCATGTTGCACCTCCTTTGGTGATCCGGTCCTCTATTGGGGAAAGTTGGTTTCCTAATGTCATAATTCAGGATCCTGTGACTGTTTTGGGGTCCTCTATGGTGCATTAAAGGGGGTCCAGCATTGGCCAGCCGATACCAAACCAAATAAAGGAAGGCAGGGCTCCATACAGAGACCATGAGACCACTCTTGCAAAAAACATATTGCAGGCCTGTTCCTGCCACTCGCCCATTTCGATCAGGGTCAGCCACCGAGCGCCGGACTGCAGAGACTGAGGAACCACACGTTGAAGGTGGGAAGTGGCGAGGGCACCATCCTGGGACATTGCAGGAGCCCATCATGTCCGGGACTTAGTTATGTGGGGTAGTACCCCTGGCTACAACCCACTGAACGGGAACTGACAACCATGGTGGATTATGACCATGGCCACCGCTACAGTAAGCTCCGGACCATCCAGGGAAGGGGTGGATCTTAAGATATTGACCAAGATTAGAGCCCTAGCTTTGGTCAAAACGCCCACCTCAACTGGGAAAAGACGTGGCGCCCCATCGGTCGCTGCGTGATTGCTTCCACTCTGCCCAAACGGGACACCCGACGTTGCAACATCCCCCCCGATCAACGCAATTCCTCAACTAGGCCCATGTAGGTGAGTTCTTTGTTTGAGGCTGCCCTTTTCAGGTCCATGTTTTGGGAAACCAACAGGAAAGCACCGCAAAATTGGAACCCAGTCACCCGGCACCCATCCGAGGCGGGCACACGTTGAAGCGGAAGCCGTAGCTGCCCGACTTGAGCGTGATCCTGAGAGCTTCATACAATTCTTAGCCTTTTGGCGGGCCATAAACTGAATATCCTAATAAACTACTTTTCCCAAACTGGAAACAAGGGAATACCCCTAGGACCCTCATGGGTTTGAGCTCGTTTTGCTCATGGAGTCCGACCCCTCTTAAGAACACCCCGGGAGCCTTGTAGAAACACTGCAAACACTTGAAAGAAGAAACGGGCCTGGCGAACATGTTGCTTAGACCTTCCCAAACCTTGGCAGGAAGCAAACAACTGCGTTTCTTGCAGCCTCCCACTAACAATGAACAGAACAACCCAACTGAAAAACCCAAAGTCATGCGAAGAACGGTAAAGAGATGACACTCAAGCGGCCGGCTCACTCTTGTTTTCCCACATCAACGTGACTCATGCAGACTCTTGAGACAAATCAGCGCGCAAGGGATTGCAATGCTGCCAGCATCTCGCTCAATCGGATGCCAGCTGGAAAATTTGGTTGTCGAGTTGCGCCATCATTTGAACGCTGTACGATGTGCCACTGTGCATCGTGAAATGTTCTGTCCACTTGTTGCCAACAAGAGATACAATGTAGACAGATATGAATGTATATATTACATATAATATATATATATATAGATATACGGGTATGGGGATTCCACTTGGTCCATGCGACACAAACAACATGAAGATGCTGAGGTGTGGACTTAGGTGTGTGTGTGTGCGCGCACACACACACACACCACACACACACACACCAATTCGGCCGATTGGTCGCACCCTGGCAAGCCAGGTTGACTGAGGCACCAGCCAGGAGGACCTGTTCAACTCCAAGGAGATCCGAAGACGGTCCTAGCGATGGCGCCCGGCTTCGCTTTCTTAGTCTTTCTTAGACTTTCATAGCTTCATGGATTCCGGCAGTCCGAGTCAAAGAAACCCCACAAGCCAACTAATGGGACCGGGAAAACCCAGGAAGAATCCTTTGTGGCTCCAATTTGAAGCGAATGCGTTGGTGGGCAATGTATTTTCAAGGGGAGAAGCAGGAAATCCTGACTTGGGTGGGCACAGCTAGCCCTTGGTTTGTCCGGACCGCCTCCCAAACGGTCAAAGAATCTCAAAGGAAAGCCGAAAGCTGGACTAACAGCCAGCCCCTGCTGTTTTGGGACGGCTGCCTTTGCTGTGCCGATAAAAGGGCTTTTGGGGAAGCTTTAAGTTCGACTTCCATTTGACACTTTTTGGTTTTGACTTTTCCAGAAACCCGCAGGTGGTTTCACAAATGCCACGTTTCAGGCAATTGTTCAGCCCGCCAATCCGCGAGTCAAGTGACCGTACGTCAAGACACTCTGAGAGCTCAGCGAGCTGGGATTCATCAAGCGCGGCTGGCTTGACCAGGGGGGGTGTCCCATATTAGGAGGATCATTTGGTCGGGCTTTACCACACCCCCATGAATCGGCGAGGCTTATTGATACTTGTAATTACAAAACCCGAGGAATTAGCAAGTTGCTCGTCCACAAACATGACTCGGATCAGCTCTGCAAATGCAAAAGTGCACAAGTCAGAACATACTTCAGCTAGTTCTCTTAGGCCATCTAGGTGCCCCAAGAGAAGTGAAGCGGGGAAGTCAAGTTGGATGCCAAGGCACTGGTTCGCTTATCATCTAGGAGAAAATAGGCAATTCAAAGTGGGAGGGAGCAGCTGATGATAAGAAAGGCTCTGCTACATCTCCAACCGGTGTCAGGCTTTTTGAGGGCCTGTCCTGCGCACATTGCAACTTTGACCAGCACTTTCTGGGGCACATCCCCCAACCGAACAGTTTTGTTTGCCCGTCAACATAAAAAGATGATGTTGATGTCGACTTGGCAAAGAATGCCATCCCTGCGTACTGTCGACATTGCATCCATGGTTCGCATCAAGGAAGTCAGTCCATGTCAGTATAACACCGAAGCAATACGGTGGGTTGTCAAAATCACCTGGCCCCTTTTTGGGCCCCTACCCCCACCATGCAAAGTGACACCAAAACATGGGCCCAATTATTGGCTCATATTTAATCTATTGTACGTACTTGTTTGAACAATGCATCCTCAATCGCTATCATTTATGCTTCCAAAAAGGGGAATCTGGATATGAAGTTGAATGGGGAGGGCCTTTAGTTAAAATCGTTGAATGTCCACCAATCCGCGTTTGAGTCCCTAGTCAAAATCCTCTGTATGACCCCCTGTGATTTCCCCAGCCGTCCTTCTGGAAGTAGTCCAAGTAGTCTATTTCTCTCAGCGGCATGTTCTGGCGCGGAGCTGGAATACTGAGTAACAATCATGTCGCATACACAACCAATAGCACAATTGGCACACATTTGGAGACTTTCTAAGAAATGAGGGGGCCACAATTCGGGGGCCACAGTTACGGTCCTTGGGCCAAGTGATTGTTATACGGCTGCCCTATCTTGCCGACGTTCGCAGGGCGCCCCTCGAGCGACCCTCACTCACATTCCATCTTGTGGGTGGGACGGCTCTGTAGTTCACATGCGTGGCATAGGAAATTCACCAGACCCACAGCTTCATGATGGGTAAGGTCGCAAATTTGCCAGGTAGGTGGCAATGGGTATCATTGGCCCAGAAGTATACCTTGCCTATGCGGCTC